GAGGGGAATCCGCAGCGTCCCGGCGATCGCGTGGGCGAGTTTCGTCTTGCCGACGCCGGGGGGGCCGTGCAGGAGGACCCCGCACGGCGGGTCCGCCCCGAGAAAGGTAAACAACTGCGGCATCCGGATCGGCAGCTCAATCAGCTCCTTGATGATGGGGATCTCCTTCGCGAGGCCGCCCATGTCGGCTAGGGTGATTGTGGGAATTATACCCACCGGGGAATCGGCCTCGTTTTCGCCGTCCGCTTTGCGTTGGGAGTCGTGTGCTTTGGTCTCGCGGCGTTCGCGTTTGGTGTTGGGGAGGCCGCTGGTCGTATCTTCCTCGTAGGCGGGTCGAACGTCCCCTGGACTACCGCCTCCTCCGCCCCATCGCTTGCCGTTGCCTCGGCCATCACCACCACGGCGGTATTTGTTGGGGGACTGTCGGGCTAGGCGCTTGAGCTTTCCTTTTAATCGATCACTTAGTTCCGACATTGCTATAATAATAATAATAATAATAATAATAGTAGTAAATGATAAAAGAGATGTGAAATGTGGAAATCTACCTTATATTTTTGATTTGAAAAATTCAACTTTATCGAAGGCCAAGAGCATCCCACACCTTAAATCTCATAGATTAAAAAAAAAGAAAAAGGAAAGTTATAGTAAAAGAATTAAAATGAAGGCAAAAATAAAATGCACTCCTGTATTCATTCAGGTAACTTTTTGCACTGCATTCTAGATTTTAAGGAAGTTAAACTGAAAAAGGAGAAGATCGCTAAAGCATTCTACGTTTTCATTAACACCTGTGTGCTAAAGACCACTGCATGCAAGAAAAAAAAAAGGTATCGTAAACCTAATATTACTCGTATGTAAATTGTATTGAGGTATATATTATATATCCATGCAGTGGTCAAGGTAACAATTTTTGAAACCCCACTCCTTATTAACTTTCAATGAATAATACATATAAATAATTATAGCTAATTATTTATAGGTTTGTATATACCCTTAGTAAAAGATTTAGTGATTTACCTCCATTCCACATCAGCAAGCGTTTTCCCTTCCTGCATTAAATCCCAGAGGGGCGACATCTCGCGAAGCTGCTTCACCGTACGTGTGCACTCCTGAATCGTAAAATCGACTTCGTGATCGGTGGTAAACCGGGAGATCCCAAAGCGAATTGATGTATGGGCGTTTTCTGCCTCGATACCGAGAGCCCGCAAGACGTAACTGGGTTCCAACGAGGCGCTAGTACAGGCACTCCCGCTTGACACCGCGATATTCTTCATTCCCATCATTAAACTCTCGCCTTCCACGCAAGCAAAGCTCATATTCAGGCTGTTTGGCAGGCGATGCTCAAGATGCCCGTTGACGTAGGTATGCGTTAGTCGTTCCTGCAGCCCATGGAGAAGTTTATTCCGCAGTCGGAGGGTGTGCGCGTGATCTCTTTCCATCTCCTCCGCGCCGAGCTGAAACGCCTTTCCCATGCCGACCAAAAGCGGCGTCGGCAGCGTCCCGCTGCGGGTCCCACGCTCCTGCCCGCCCCCGCTCACCGGTGAGCGTAGACGAACCCTTGGGCGGCGGCGCACGTACAAGGCCCCGCAGCCCTTCGGGCCGTACAATTTATGCCCAGAAAGCGACATCAGGTCGATGTTGTCCTTCTCCACGTCGATCGGGATCTTCCCCGCGGCCTGCGCGGCGTCGGTGTGGAAGAGCACCTTCCGCCGCCGGCAGATCTCGCCGATTTCCCGGATGGGCTGCAGGACCCCGATCTCGTTGTTCGCGGTCATGCAGGAGACGAGACAGGTGGTCGGCCGGATCGCCTCGTCGAGGGTGCGCAGGTCGACCAGCCCGTCCTTCCCCACCGGAAGGTAACTGACCTCAAACCCCTCCATCTCGAGCGAGCGGCAGGAGTCGAGCACGCATTTGTGCTCCGTTTGCAACGTCACGAGGTGGTTTCGCCGCGTCGCGTGGTAGTGCGCGACGCCTTTCAAGGCGATGTTATTCGACTCCGTCGCGCCGCTGGTGAAGACGACCTCCTTCGGGCTCGCGCCGATCAGCGCCGCGACCTGGCGCCGCGCCCACTCCACCCCTTCCTCGGACTGCCAACCATAGGCGTGGGAGCGGCTGTGGGCGTTGCCGAACTGCTCGGTTAAAAAAGGCAACATCGCGTCCAGCACGCGAGGGTCGAGCGGGGCGGTGGCCTGCACGTCGAAGTAGAGCGGACGGCGCCCGGTGAAGTGTAACGGCGAAGAGGGGGGGAGGGGGGCGGGGGACAGGGACAGCCCCGCCACCTGCGCCAGACGACAAGAGGCC